GCAATGTACAAGTTGCTTTATCCTGAGTCAAAGCCTTGGTCTATCATGGTCTCTATTGTTTACTCTGGTCCTGTTCACACTAGGGGTTTTGGGCCGGGAGCGGGATGGATCGGGGGCAGAGCAAACGGGCGCGATCCCATGGCAACATCTGGGAAGCGGTGCCTGCCCGTCCCCAATCTGTCCTTTCCGCCCGAAAACCCGCACTACAAAGAACCACCTACCTGGGTGGTTCTTCTGCTTGAAGCGCCGCAAGCCAGGCCGTCGGATCGCCGGCGTGTCTTTGCGCCGGCTCATCCCCGGCTCCTAGCCAAACTGCGCATGCTCCGACATGTGCAGTTCGGCAGGCTCCCCGTCTGAACTGTGTTTTCTCCCCGGCATCTGATCGTGCCGGGGAGAAAAGGCGCGCAGCCCAGGGGATCGTGGGATCCCGTCGTGGCGTCTCAACTTTGGCGCGGCTTTGAGCGACTTATCCCCTGCCATGTGGCAGGGGCCTCTGATTGGCAATGGCTCTTTCGGCTCTCAGCTAGAGGCCTTTCTCATTAGCTGATGTCTGAACCTGGAGATGGGGACTGACATTCTGCATGCAAAGCAGATGCTCTAGCACTTAGCCATACTTTCTCTCCAAGTAGAAGTAAGGCAGCAGAGAAGGTCTTTAAAACACCCCTTTCCCCCTATAGCTGTAGAGGAGTGTTGGGAGTGTTCCAGGCATAACACAAGCAGAGTGATGGTGAGATCAAAGAAGCTTGCCAAGTGCCCTTGGACCCTCTATTCCCCAAGTACTATCAATTGCACAGGTTTTTTTAGAGCAATTGCTCAAGTGTTGGTCAGCTCAGCAGACAAGTCAATATTTAAGTGCTAACTCCTCCACTGTGGCTGGATCCAGCTTCTATTGTTGTCATTACCAAGTGTAATTCCAAAGTCTGGAGGACAAAAAGGACATGTGGAAGGCATCCCTCCATCGTGCCTGGACCCAGACTTCACTAAGAACTGCTTCCCTGAGCAACTTTAAATGTATTTACTAATATCAAATATTTAAGCTTTACATATAGCACTTGCAAATGTTCAGAGACCTTCAGATATATTATGTTGACAAACATCTGTATTTGAAATTGCTGTAAGCCACTCCAGGACCCAATATGGGGCTGAAAAATGGGGTACAACTGAAATACAATGACTGCAGTTATGTTGGCTCTGTCCCTTGTGTTTCCCTCCTACCTTACTTTCAAAACTCCAGGGCCGGATGGCTTGCATCCCAGGGTGCTAATAGAAATTGCAGATGTTATTTCAGAGCCTCTAGCTCTAATCTTTGAGATGTCCTGGAGTACTGGTGTTGTGTCGGAAGACTGAAGAAGAGCTAATGTTGTCCCGATCTTCAAGAAGGGAAAAAAAGATGGACCCGGGAAATTACAGGCCTGTCAGTTTGACATCAATACCAGGAAAATTCTAGAGCAGATTATTAAACGCTCTGTCTGTGAGCACCTTGAATGGAATGAGTTAATTGGTAGTAGCCAGCATGGGTTTATCAAGAATAAGTCATGCCAGACCAACCTTATCTCCTTTTTTGACAGAGTTACTAAAATGGTTGACTCTGGCAATGCTGTAGATATAGTGTATCTAGATTTCAGTAAAGCATTTGACAAAGTTTCTCAAGATATCCTTGAGGATAAGCTGGTTAAGTGTGGTCTGGATGGTGCAGCAGTTGGATGGATTCATGGTTGGTTGAAAAATCATACCCAACGAGTGCTCGTAAATGGCTCTGTGTCTACGTGGAGGGACGTCTCGAGTGGGGTGCCGCAGGACTCGGTCCTAGGCCCGGTGTTGTTCAATGTTTTTATAAATGATCTGGAGGAAGACATAGAGGGGATGCTTATCAAATTTGCAGATGACACGAAGCTGGGTGGGATTGCTAATTCTGAATAAGACAGAGTCAGGATTCAAAATGATCTAGATAGGCTGGAAAGTACAAAAAAATCAAAGGCACAGATATAGAATGGGAGGGACTTGGCTTGACAGCAGCACATGTGAAAGGGATCTAGGTGTTCTGGTTGATCACAAGCTAAACATGAGCCTGCAGTGCGATGTGGCTGTGAAGAAAGCTAATGCAGTCTTAGGATGCATTAACAGAAGCATTGTGTCCAGATCACGGGAGGTGGTAGTTCCGCTCTATTCTGCTATGGTCAGGCCTCACCTGGAGTACTGTGTCCAGTTTTGGCCACCACATTTTAGGAAGGATGTTGACAAGCTCGAGCGTGTCCAGAAGAGGGCAACCAGGATGGTGAGAGGGGTTGAATCCAAGTCTTATGAGGAAAGGCTGAAAGAGTTGGGTATGTTTAGTCTGGGAAAGAGAAGGTTTAGAGGGAACATGATTGCCGTCTTCAAGTATTTGAAGGGCTGTCATGAAGAAGATGGAGTGGATCTATTCTCTCTTGCTCCAGATTGCAAGACTACATCTAATGGGTGGAAATTACAGGGGAGTCGTTACCGGCTAAATATCAAGGAAAACCTCCTAACTGTAAGAGTGGTTGAGCAGTGGAACAGTCTGCCTCGGGAGGTGGTGGATGCTCCTTCGCTGGACGTTTTCAAGCAGAGGCTGGACAACCATCTTTCGGGTATGTTGTAGGACTATCTTTCGGCTATGCTCCTGCAGAGTGCAGGGGGTTCGACTAGATGACCTGCAAGGCCCCTTCCAACTCTAACATTCTATGATTCTATGTTGGGTTCCCTCATGTGTTCGTGTGAAGGTATGGATCTGCCAGCATTTCTTATACTTTAAATTGTTTTCATTGTTAATATTGTACATTATCCTGTGTTGAAAGGCACTTGGGATGCCCTTTGCAGAAATGTGAAATTAGAAGTTGCTAAAATCAAAGTAAGTTAAACTAATGATAAATGTGTACTTTCCAAGGCAGACATCTTGAAAGTCACAATGGCCTTACAAAAAAGAGGTGTATGTGTAAGTTGTGGTACTTCTCCCTTTCCCATAGACAAAAGCAGTTGTCCCATGTGGGGGGTGTGTGGATGGATAGATGGATCCCCAACTAATTTTCACTGCTGGTTGTAGGGCTGCCCCCGTTCCAGGCAGGGTTTCCCTCACTTTTGCCAGCCCCTTTCTGCCACCAGCCAGCTGGCCACCAGGGGGATACCCCACCCACAAATGCCCCTGAATGTGATGTAATGATGTCACCCAGAAGTGACATCATTACATTGTTGCCATAGGAGGGGGTGATGCTCTAGTTTTTTGACAAAACTGTATGGTAAAATTGGGCTCAAACCATAGAGTTCTGTCAAAAAACTAGAGTGTCACCTATCATCATTGGCGTGATCACATCACTTCTGGGTGATATCGCGGTGCGTGTATGAAGATTCCCAGATAGACCCTGGAGCCCCCTGCCAGCAGCCAGGTAGGACCTGACAACCCTAGCTTGTTGCCATGACTTCCTCTAGTCGTTGTATAGAGTTGCCATTCTCCAGGTGGAGCCTGAAACTAGGGTCGCCCAGCATGGCCTGGAAAACAACAGATGATGAAGGGAAGGACATGGCGGGGTAGATGTTGGTTACAGCATGGGGAAGGACATGGCGGGGTAGATGTTGGTGACAGCATGATGTCCCTTCTGGGGAAAATCCAGAAATGATGTCATTTCTCCGTAGGAATCACTGATAATTCTATGGTAAAACTATAGAGTTTCTTTCAATTCCTAGAGATGATCAGGGTTTCCCCCAAAGTGATCCCTTCCTTTCTAGGAATCACTGGAAACTGCATGGTTCAATCATAAGTTTTACCATAGAATTTCTGATGATTCCTAGAGAGGTATGGATCACTTCTGGGATTTCTTCCAAAGTGACTTCATGCTATTGACCACTGGCTGTTGGGTTGTTTTTTTAAAAAATTATTCTGCTACCACTCAGGGTGGTTGTGGGAAATGGGAGCTGCCTGGAGTTCTCCCAGAATGACAACTAATCTCTAGACTATTGAGATCAATTCATCTGGAGAAAACAGCAGTTTTGCAGGGTGGACTGTATGAAATTACATCCCTGCTGAGCACCCTTCCGTCCCCAAGCTCCATCCTCTGCAAGCTCCGTCCCCAAATCTACAGGAATTTTCCAGCCCGGAGCTGGCAACCCTGTGCTTGAAGGCTCCTACTGGGTTGTACGGTTGCTATTCTCCAGGTGTTCGCTGGATATCTCCAGATGATAGAGTTAATTTTCCCTGGAGAAAATGGCTGCTTTGGAGGGTGGACTTAATGGCCATTATAGCCCACTGAGGTACCCCTGCTCCTGCCCACACCACACCCTCCCCCCAAATCTCCAGGAATTTCCTAGCCCAGAGCCGGCAACCCTATAAACTGGGGTTGCCACTGTGGTCCTGATATTCTTTTAGGGGTGAGAGTTGGGATGAGGCCTGTGGGGAGTGGAGGGGGTTGTTGCCATGGTCATGCTCTGCTTTGGGGGAAGAAGAGAAGAGGGAGATGAGACGTTGTCGTGCTGCTTAAGGTTGTCATGGCATCCTGCTAGGCAGTGGCTGTCATGGCAAGGTATCCAACTGGTGAGAGTGGTTGGCATGGCAACCTCAAGGGGATTGGCATATTGCCCTCCCCCCTCTAGAAGAGGCCCTGCAGGGGGTCTCCTCTGGGGGTCTGCAGCCGCTGTGAAGAGAAGACAGCCTGAGCTACTGGGAGGGATGCTTCTATTGGGGTATCCTGCCCAGCGGCAGTTGCTAAGACACTCTTGAGGAGGGGATGAAAGCAACCCTTTCGGTTGCCACGCGCAGCTCTTCTAAGGAGGTGGTTGCCATGGCGCCATCTTAGGCCAGGATGCGGTTGCTATGGCAGCCCCGCGCGGGGCGGGGGCGAGAGAAGGGCAGCGTTCCACCCTTTTCCGGCGGAGCGTCCTCCGGCCACGAGGGGCCGCAGCTAAGAGATGAAAGTTGGGGTGGGGATAGCCGTTCTGTCCTTCTTCGACGTTCTCTATGGTAAACGACAGCACTTCCGGCTTGGGGCTCGTACGCCCCTGCCAGTGCCGGCGCAACCGGTAGGCCGCTTGGACTTGTTGGTCGCGCTGGACCTCCCTCGGCGGAAAGATGGCGGCGGTTGCTGCCGCTGAGTGAGTCAGGGAGGGAAGCCAGAGGCGATGCGGGCGCCCCTTTGGCCCGTCGGGGGTGGGGATCGGTGCGTGTGCCTTTTGTGGGGAAAGGAACTCTTCCCGCCTGCTGGAACCGCATTGCCTGTGGGGGAGCCGCGCCCCTCCCCGCGCCCTCGGGTCTGCCGGGCCCCGAAATCGCTCAAGGTTTTGGCACGAAGGAGTGGTCGCAGACCCATCCGTTCGCCAGCCCGTGTAGTGTAGAGAAGTCAATCCCAGCCTGTCTTTTGCCTTTCATAACCCCCCAATACTTGTGTGAACCCAACGAAACTCATGGTGGGTTGGAAGAGGCTGCCTGCTGTGTTTCTGCATGATGCACTGTTCTGAGATGGCTTTCTTCCACTCAGGGGCTGTCAGGAGGCGGGTACGCTGCTTTCCTCCCCTCTTCGGCTTCTATAAACAGGGTGATGGGGCAGTCCAGGTGTAGAAATGCACTGAATATCCTTCCACCCTGAAGAGGTTGTTTTTTGCATTGTTTCCAGTAGTGGGGAGCAGGGTTGTTTTTTTGTACTCCGCCTTTAGGCTGGAGAGAGCGGTCATTGTGCTCTGCCTCTTAAAAGGGTGCCATCTGTAGTGTTAAGCGGGTCATTTACAGAACTGGCCACCCATGGAAGAGTCTACCGGGTGCATTTCTGCATGTCTCACTGATCTGGATTGCTTTCATCTTGGCAGCCTCCTCTGAGGGTGGGTTATGTTGCGTTAAATGTTGATGTGGGGTAGCTGGGTTCATCCATCACTCAGGTTATACCTCTTTTCTTGTCAGAGGCATGACCTGACTAAATGACGTGTGGAAACAGAAGGAGTGGGTTACGCTATGGATAATTCTGTTATCATTAAACTTTTCAGATCTTTTCAAACATAGGTAAAGGCAGGGCTCTAGTCGGGGGGGAGCTCTCAGGTACGGAGCTCCGGAAGAGAACCTCTAGGGGGCGGGGCGGTCACGTGGTGAAGCCCCGCCCCCTACTTAACCCCGCCCTCTGCTTCGATCCTCATTCCGTGTGCGGAACGCTGTTACCTTCCCACTGTTGTTTGTCCATTTTAGTAATTTGGAAAACATTAGGGTAAAGTGTTTGGACTTATTCCAAGGAAGTCTGAGTTCAGTTATGCTGGGGATTATTAGGAAGGGTATTGAAAACAGATCAGCCAATATCATAATGCCCCTATATAAATCAATGGTGAGACCTCATTTGGAATACTGTGTGCAGTTCTGGTCACCACACCTTAAAAAGGATATTATAGCTTTGGAAAAAGTGCAGAAAAGGGCAACTCGAATGATAAAAGGGTTGGAACACTTTCCCTATGAGGAAAGGTTAAAGTGCTTAGGGCTCTTTAGCTTGGAGAAAAGACTACTGAGGGGTGACATGATCGAGGTTTATAAGATTATGCATGGGAAAGAGCAGGTAGAGAAAGAGGTACTTTTCTCCCTTTCTCACAATACAAGAACTCGTGGGCACTCCATGAAACTGCAGAGCGGTCGGGTTAGAACAGATAAAAGGAAGTACTTCTTCACCCAAAGAGTGACTAACACATGGAATTCACTGCCACAGGAAGTGGTGGCTGCTACAAGCATGGACGGCTTCAAAAGGGAATTAGATAAGCATATGGAGCAGAGGTCCATCAGTGGATATTAGCCACAAGGTATAGATAGGGGCTCTGGGGCAAGTGATGCTCTGTCTTCTTGGTGCTTGGGGGGGGTCAACAGTGGGAGGGCTTCTAATGTCCTGGCCCCACTGCTGGACCTCCTGATGGCACTGGTATTTCTGGCCACTGTGTGACACAGAGTGTTGGACTGGATGGGCCTTTGGCCTGATCCAACATTGGCATCTCTTATGTTCTTATGTTATCCACAGTGTTGTGAAGCTCATTAAATGGCATCAGGTAGGTCACTCAGTGGCAAGCAACCTAACTATGCTCACAAGTTTGTTGTGGAGGTAAAAGTATGCACCTCTGTGTGTGTGGAATAGGCAGGATGTACTCCTTGAAGGAAGGATGAGAATTTTTGCTATGGCAGATACTTTACACATCAGTCATATATTTTAGTGACAGATTAATTAGTTCTTTGCACCCTTCACAATAATTAGTTCTGTGCACCCTTCACAATGGTTTGATCTTGACATTGTCCCTAGAGTTGGCACCTTCATGTCTGGCAGCAAGAAAATGTTTGTTGTTAAAACCTGCTTCTTAGCACATTTGTGTGCAAATTGTATCTTGCTTTCCTAACATCTATTGCACAACTGCGGGCTTTCCCTTTCACAATACTTGCATACCACTAGGAGGAAGTGTACGTTAACTCATTGCTCTCTGATCCTCCCTTTTTTCCCTGCATTTTTTGAAATTGTGCAGCTGGGTTTATTGATTGACCGCTGTGACTTTCCAAAAGAACACTACGGTATAAAATTTCTTGTAAATATGTTACAGCTCATTAGACTGAGCTTTTTTTGGTGGGATATTTGTATTTGAAAACCCCCCTCTATAAGCGGCTATGAACCCAATTAATGTAGTGAATTTTAATTCATTAAACACAGCTCAGACACCCTAACCATATTGTGTGTTGCTAGTCAAGTGCTCAGTATACATGTATGTGCTGTCAAATTGCAACCAACTTATGGCAACCCCAGCAAGGAGCTTCCAAGGAAGGTGAGAAGCAGAGGTGGTTGCCATTACCTGCAGAGCCTTCCTTGGTGGTCTCCCATCCAAGTACTGACCCTTTGTAGCTTCCAGGCTCTGATAAGGTCAGGCTATACCATACTATTCAAATCCTCAGGTGCTTAATACAGAGCCCTTAATCAATAGAGTCAGTGTGGTCTATTGGTTAGAGTGTTTTACTAGGACTGGGGAAACCCTTGTCATAAAACCTAACTGGATGACATGGAACAGTCATTCTCTCTCAGTCTAACCCAGGGTGGTCGAACTCATTTGTTATGGAGGGCCGGATTTGACATAAATTGGACTTTGTCGGGCCGGGCCATGTGTGTCATAAAATATAATGCCAGGTATCGGAGATGTAAACTTTATAAAGGACACAAACACAAAGTGTTTCTTTTTACTTAAAATAAAAACATGCTTGAAACATTAGCATTCTTGCGATATTTTGCTTATTTAACAGTCTCTGATAACTGACACTTCTTGCTCTGAATTATTCCATCAAAATGTCTGTGCCGTAGCAATCTGGGAGGGGGAGGAGCCTCAGCCCAGTGCAGGGAGCAGAAGCTTGCCTATAGAATCATAGAATCACAGAGTTGGAAGGGGCCATTACAGACCATCTAGTCAACCCCCTGCCCAATGCAGGACCAGCTTAAAGCATCTCTGACAAATATTCGTCCAGCCTCTTCATGAAAGCTGTCAGTGAAGGGGAGCTCACCACCTCCCTAGGCAGCTGATTCCACCTTTGAACCACTCTGGCCGTGAAAAAGTTTTTCCTAATATCCATTATATCCAAAATAATAATACCTTTCTGCATGTAATTTAAACCGATGGCTTTGGGTCCTATCCTCTGCTGCCAACTGGAACAGCTCCTTGCTCTCTTCCAAATGACATCCTTTCAAATATTTAAAGAGAGCAATCATGTCCCCCCTCAATTTCCTCTTCTCCAAACTAAACATTCCCAAGGCCCTCAGCCTTTTCTCGTAGGGCTCAAGTCTCCAGACCCCTGATCATCCTCGTCGCTCTCTTCTGCACCCTCTCGATTTTATCCACATCCTTTTTGAAGTGAGGCCTCCAAATCTCTCTCTCCTGAGCGATTGAGAGAGTCTAGGAAAGCAAGCTATGATGCAACAGCAGCAGCAGAACTGGAGGAAGAAGCAGGAGACAGTCCCTTGCGGGCCTGATAGAAGCCCTCTGGGGTCCCGATCCGGCCCCCGGGCTGCGTGTTTGACACCTTTGGTCTAACCTATCACAGAGTTGTTGTAAGGATAAAATGGAGAATGGGAGAATAATGAATGCCGACCTGAGCTTCTTGGGAAAAGGGTGCCATAAAAATGCAGAAAATAGTAAGAGTCCCGTGGCATCTTAAAGATCAACACATGTATTTTAGCATAAGCAGTCATGAATCTTACTGCCATTTGCCAGGGTGGATTTGGCTTTGGAGTTGGCTACACTTTGAGCAGTGATAGATTTTAGTCTTTTAAAATGGGTGTATTTATGAGCATAGGGTTTGACCCTTCTTCAGGACTGCTTCTTCTTGCAGTTGCATTCTTATGATAGTTACTCATGATTGTTACTCTCTCCTTTCTTTGACAGCATGATATGCTTCATAGCCATCTCGGATTCTACTCACCTGGGGTTTTTCTGCACTTGAAGACAGTGGCATGGATCATGAAGCCCCGACCATCAGACCTCGTCGGATCCAGAACCAGAATGTCATCTACCGCCTGGAACGGCGAAGGATCACGTCTGGCAAAATGGGGACACACTGGCACCAGGTCCGTGTCTTCCATCAAAATGTCTTCCCCAACTTCACGGTGGTCAATGTTGAAAAGCCACCCTGCTTCTTACGCAAGTTTTCCCCCGATGGAAGGTACTTCATAGCTTTCTCCTCAGATCAGACTTCCTTGGAAATCTATGAATATCAAGGGTGTCAGGCGGCAGAGGACCTCCTCCAGGGCTACGAAGGAGAGATCTTGGCAAATGGCAACGACCAGCGGTCCATTAACATCCGTGGGCGGCTCTTTGAGCGCTTCTTTGTTCTTCTCCATATTACCAACGTGGCTTCCAACGGCGAGCACTTGAACCGCGAGTGCAGCTTGTTCACAGATGACTGCCGCTACGTCATTGTCGGCTCTGCTGCCTACCTGCCGGAGGAGCCCCACCCTCCCTTTTTTGAGGTTTACCGCAACAGTGAATCGGTCACTCCTAATCCAAGGTCCCCTTTAGAAGATTACTCTTTGCACATCATAGACCTCCACACAGGCAGGCTGTGTGACACCAGGACGTTCAAATGTGACAAAGTCATCTTGTCCCACAACCAAGGGCTCTATTTGTATAAGAATATCCTGGCCATTCTATCTGTACAGCAGCAAACAATCCATGTTTTTCAGGTAACGCCAGCGGGCACCTTCATTGATGTACGGACGATAGGTCGCTTCTGCTATGAGGATGACCTCCTCACACTCTCGGCGGTTTATCCAGAAGTCCAGCGGGATTCTCAGACGGGCATGGCGAACCCATACAAAGAGCCGTTCATTAATTCTTTGAAACACAGGCTGCTGGTCTACTTGTGGCGAAGGGCAGAGCAGGATGGGAGCACAATGGCAAAAAGGAGGTTCTTTCAGTATTTTGACCAGCTGAGGCAGCTGCGGATGTGGAAGATGCAGCTGTTAGATGAGAACCACCTCTTTATCAAATACACCAGTGAGGATGTGGTCACATTGCGGGTGACAGACCCTTCACAGGTACAGGTCTGTCCTTGGCGGGAGTAGCTGGATGTGAGGTCTGCCTTATGCCTATGAATTTGGTAGACCATGCTTCTAGCCCATATGATGCTCTGCCTTTTAATGTGTAAAAAGAACATAACTTTATATATTTAGGGAAACATTTACAGCCCTCACTTCCCCAGTCCACCCTCAGGGGCTCAAGACAGCTTAATGTATGGCTGGATCAGGGTCAGTTTTGGTCCAGCAACCTGCATCTCACAGTGGCCAGACAGATGATTCCAGAAAGCCCACCAACTGGAATGCAGCCAATAGCTTTCCTGTGTTGTCTGTCTCTCAGTAACTGCTCAAGGGTACACTGCCTCTGAACATGGATGTTCCATTTAGTTTATCATGGCTATTCGCTCTTGGTAGACATATTTATTTCAGTGATGAGCACTGTGTCTTCCGACAGGGAATTCCATAGGTTAGTAATTCTGCACATGCTCCAGTCCATTTCATTGAGTAATCCAGAGTGGCAAGAGGGGCGAAAACCGAAAACCTTCACACCATTTATAATGGTAGAAACTTGTATTAAGCCTCTCTCCTTTTTTAAAAAGAAAAAGTTTGTAAGTCCAAACACTAGCCTTAGGTGTTTTCATGTTCAATTAGGGCTTTATGTAGCTAGCTGTTTTACATAGGTCTTCATATGAGAATCTTTCTTAGGTGTTTGATATTGACTGATTTTTCTCTGTCTTGTGATTCAGTGATATAAGGGATTTGGTGGTGATGATGGGGATTAAACCTCCGGCAGGGAGCGTCTGAGTTACCGTAATGCTGCAGAAGGGTGAGGGCAAGCACAGGGCCTCTGGCTGTTGTTGCCTGATGTGCTGCAATCTGATAGGGGGCAGAATGTCCAAAAGGGACTATGGGATGATGGAAGCGGGGGCAGGCTGAGAAGGGAACTGGCCAGGAGATGGAAAGAGGAGTGTCTGGGAAAGGAAGGCTAGGAATGGACTGAAGGAAGTGAGCCTGAGAGGGATGGCAAACAGGATGGGGTAACAGACAAGCTCATCTGCCATGGTGGAGAATCTGCTTGGCATGCAGGAGGCCCCAGGTTCAGCCTCCAGCATCTCCAGCAAGTAGTCGGTGACATGAAAGACCTGTGCCTGGAAGAGCTGTTGCCTGTCAGAAAAGATGATACTGACTTCTGTAGTCTGGGTCAGTAGAAGGCAGCATCAGGTGTTCTTGTGCCATTGGGAGATGCACACATGGTCGGGAGGCACAGAGAGAGAGGAAGAGTGATGTTCTCGGACAGATTTTGGATGACGTGCCAGTTTGGTGTAGTGGTTAAGTGTGCGGACTCTAATCTGGGAGAACCGGGTTTGATTCCCCACTCCTCCACTTGCACCTTGGCTGGATGACCTTGGGCAAGCCATAACTCTGGCACAGCTGTTCTTGAAAAAGAGCAGTTTCTGTCAAGAGCTCTCTCAGCCCCCCACCTACCTCACAGGGTGTCTGTTGTGGGGAGGGGAAGGGAAAGGAGTTTGTAAACCGCTCTGAGACACCTTTGGGTAGTGAAGGGCGGGATATAAATCCAATCTCTTCTTCTTCTTTGACTACCGGTTTTGAGTGTACCATATCTACCCAGACCGCTAATGTCAGCCTAGTTCTGGTCCCAGTCTCCTGCTGTTCAGTATGTTTAATATGGTCCCTGCCCCTAACTTGTGTATTGAATTCACTTTGAATCAGTCTGGATATTTAAAATAACAGTGCAGTTGTTACTGCCAGACAGTGCAACAAATTCTTTCCCCTTCCATTGTTTCTCAACCTCTACTAGCTGTGCTGTTCGCCTTGCACGTAATCTTGCCTGTGTCCTTGGAGCCTTGCTCTTGTGTGTTTTCTTCCCCGTGGCACCCACTGCAGTTCTTCTTTTTAAAAGAAAGATCTGTTTAGTGATATGCGCCTGATCACGCAATAGTCATCTGCTATAGAAATGTACAAACTTGAGCCTTGCAAAGCGATCTGTTGCTGGCCAGTGGGGCTTCTGGCAGAGGCTGCATTAGTCACCAAAGCAGGGGTTCAGAAGAAGAAGAAGAGATTTGATTTATACCCCGCCCTTCACTACCCGAAGGAGTCTCAGAGCGGCTTACAAACTCCTTTCCCTTCCCCTCCCCACAACAGACACCCTGTGAGGTAGGTGGGGCCGAGAGAGCTCTGACAGAAACTGCTCTTTTTCAAGGACAGCTCTTATCAGAACTATGGCTTGCCCAAGGTCATCCAGCAGGTGGAAGTGGAGGAGTGGGGAATCAAACCCGGTTCTCCCAGATTAGAGTCCTCACATTTAACCACTACACCAAACTGGCTCCAGCAGATGTTCAGGCAGCAGATGTTCCCCAAAGGAGCAGCACATTCCTACTCTAGTCTGCAGGAAGGCCCTCGATGTTGCACCAGTTCGCAGGGGGAACTGATGACTTAGAATCCCGGAGCCTCTCCCCCCCCCCGTACCCCAAGAGGCTGGAAAGGCTGTGGCCTTGGCACCAGGTGGGAGAAAGAGCCTCCACGGATTCAAAAGCGTCAGAGAGGAGCTTCTTTCCTAAAGAAAAGAGGCACATGTTTTCCTACTGTTGGCTTGAGCTGTTTTGATGGGGTTTGTACTTATATATATTTTTTAAATGTCCTGGGTTTTATTGGCAGAAGAACCGTTAAACGGCAAACTTTCCCCACTCCCCCAGTTTAAAAAACAGATACAACCAGCCCAGTCAGCAGTGAAGAATTGCCTCCTCCTTCACGTGTGGCAAGAAGGTGTTCCCTATTCCTTGGATGTTGCTGGATACTTTTTCTTCCTTGGGAGGGTAAGGAGCAAACCCCCTGAGGTTTCCCCTGTCTCTTGGTACAGTTGCAACGAAATAGACCTTGGGGATCCTAAATTGACAGCTCCCCCTCCCCGGAGAGGCCCTGCTGCTTGCCCCACTTTTTTTTAAATTCACAGTATTGAGCAATAAATCTGGTAGTGTTACTTGGTGATTGTTGCCAGAAATACAGATGTCTTTCCCCAGCTAACATTCTAAAATCTTTAAAAACAAATACATTGGGGAAGGTTAACTCTCACAAAATAATAGAAGTGGTGCCTGTAGGTTTAAGAAATGAATGCCCTCAGTGGCCATTGCTAGGCCACCACAACAATATTACCAGTCTTCAAGCCTTGGTTTCTGTGAATAAAAGTCAGGGGTACGGGGAGAATCCTTTGTGGGGCTGTTTCGATCTTTTAGGGAGAACTCATTGGGACCAGTCACAGCAGTGACCACTGGGAAACTTGCTATCACTTGACTCACACAACTTACCCAGGCCCTGCGGCTTGCTACTGTTCGACAGCTAAAATGGAGGAGAAGAGAATGATGTAAGCCGCTTTAGGTCCCCATTTTGGTTAATGGCAGGGTATAAGTGAAGTAAATAAATCATAAAGATAGGTAAAGATAGGTAAAGGTAAAGGTTTCCCTTGCTTGAAAGCTAGTCAAATCCAACTCTAGGGTGCTCATCTCTCTCCAAGCCAAAGAGCCAGCGCTGTCTGAAGATGTTTCCATGGTCATGTGGCCAGCATGACTAAACGCCAAGGCACATGGTACACTGTTACCTTCCCACTGAAGTGGTACCTATTTATCTACTCGCAATTTCATGCTTTTGAACTGCTAGGTTGGCAGGAGTTGGGGCCAGAGATGGGAGCTCACTCCATCACACGGCAGTAGGGTCTCGAACTGCCGAACTACAGACCAGAAGGTCTGCAGCTCAGCATCTTAACCTCTAAGCCACTGTGGCTAAAGATATGGGGCAGGTAAAAGACAGGTTGGTGGGAAGGAGAAAGAGAAGCAGGGAAAGGTGAAAATATAGGGGTTGCCAGGACAAGGGCAAAAGTAAATAGTGTGGGGAGGGCGATACAAGGAAAGTGAAGTGACCTTTGCAGGTGCCCCACTATGCAAATTGGCCTGGTGGCTGCCACTGCACAACTGGACCATAGTTTTCCTTCATAGAGGGTGCCAGGGAGGGAAGCAGAGAAAGCTGAAGGTGGAGGCAGATAAAGGTAGATCAGTTGGTCAGTGGGAAGGAGAGAAGGAAGCAGGAAAAGGAGAGGGACTATGCGGGCTGCCTGGGGAGGGAAAGAGAGGACATAGTGGAGGAAGGTTAAATGAGATGCCCCCTCACAAGTCCTTGCAGGCCCCCTGTTTTTTGTCCTATCACTGTCATGCACATATGTTATGGCAGTATATGGACCAGAAACTTAAAAATGAGAGCTGTGATTCTCCAGATACAGCCTCAAACACTGAGCCTTTGGATGTGCAAAAATACCCCAAGTCTTGGTTGTTTGTAACCAGGGAAAGATTTCTTCACATGTCCCCAGCTGACTGATTGCAAAGCCAAGCTGCAGCTTTGGAAATTCTTGGATAAGAACGTCAGTAATTCAAAAGAAATAGTTAATGGTGCTCAGCCTTTCATTTCCCCAGCAGCGGGGGACCCTGAACAGGACGGCGTTTGCAAGCAGCCACTGAGCACAATGCGCTTTACAAGGCTCATCTCGGCATGTTGGAAATATTAAGGCAGGAAAAGAAAACAGCCCCCCTCCCCAATAAAACCGACCAACTCTTACCTCTCTGCATATACAGTGGGGGAAATAATTTGTTGCCTAGCTTAAAATCGTTTCCCAGCAGGTACTAAAATTAAATCTGCTGCTCTGGGAGAAGGGATGGGGGGGAAATTTCATGTTTGGCAAAGGAAGAAAGCACTGATGGGTCTGGTTTCAAATGTAAACAATCCTCCCATCCCCAAAAAAAGAATTGGGAGGAATTTCACATTGCTTTGTAAAATAATTTGACAACAGTTAATGGGGTGGTTAATGGGGTGCCCATAGAGATGGCTGAAAACACAATAAAGTGGCTTGTGAAATGCTGGATCCTCCTGGGCCAGCTGCAAAACTGCCGTCTCTCTGCTTTAAATGTTGGTGGCAGGAGTTGCTGAGCTGTGTCTTTCACCGGTGCTCAGCTGGACGACTTTAATTCTGCTTCTCCCCCTCCCAGCCTTCCTTCTTCGTTGTGTACAACATGGTGACCACTGAGGTGATCGCTGTCTTTGAGAACACTTCAGATGAGCTGCTGGAACTCTTTGAGAACTTCTGTGACCTCTTCCGGAACGCCACCCTGCATAGCGAGGCGGTTCAGTTCCCCTGCTCGGCCTCCAGCAACAATTTTGCCAGGCAGATCCAACGTCGGTGAGCACTGTGGCTTGCGGGTGGTAGTTCAGCTCCTTGGTGAATTAGTGAATCTAGAGGGACTTGGCTGGCTCCAGTTCAAATACTCTGCTTTAACTAGTTGTTTTGCTTTTGACAGTGCATGCAGGGTGGTTTAGGGAAAAGGTTTAAAATATATTTTCCTACCTTTCTGCAAAGGTAGATTGCAGCTAGTACAAAAGACCTCGAAGAGATTGGGTGAGTGTGGTCTAGTCATTGATATCAAACTAGGAATGGGGAGTCCTGCATTTAAACCTTCACTGAAGCTTTTTAGAAGAACTTGGGCCCATCAGTCTTCCGTAGCCTAACCTAACTCAAGGACATGTTATGAGATTGGGCGGGGGAGGGGAAGCAGGAGAGAACCACGTACACCAACCTGAGCTCCTTGGAGGAAGGATGGGGTAAAAATGTAGGATCTGAAAGCAGTGACCTGCTTAAATCTCTGCAGCATACAGTGCAATCCTAAGCAAAGTTATACCCTTCTAACCTCTGTTGAGGTCCCTGGACTTAGAAGAATGTAACTCTGTTTAGGATTAGACGGGGCAGTAGCTGTGGTTCGGGTGGTCCTCCCCTGCCCCTATTGTACCCTTTCAGCCACAAATTGATGGTGGCCTTAGGGAAGCCCTCTGTCTGCAATAACAGCTTAGTCATTGTGGCCAACCTTACAGGGCTCTGTACAACAAGGTGATTTGTGTGGAAACATTTCAAATGCTGAAAGTTGTACAAATGTATGTGTGTTATCTAATAAATAGTAAATAAGCAAAGCAAACGGGCAGGTACAAAAATAAGAGAAGATGCCATTCCACAAAAGCTTGGTATACTAATAGGCTTTGCCTGGTGCCAATGTGGTATACTAGGGGCAAGGGGCAAGTAGATGGTTCTGGAAAGACAGGATACCACTACAAAGAAGGCCCTGACTTGGTTGCCCCTCCCCGGACCCATCTTTGAAAGTGAGCTTTTCTTCTAATTGTGATCTCTGGGATTGGGCAAGTTGAGATGGGAGAAGGCAGTCCTTCAGATGATTGGCAGCACTTCCGTAGTCCCCAGTGTGGCGCTGATGGGTGCCATGGCGCCAGCCGATAACTTTTCTGGTGCTTGCCAAGCAGGCCTGTAGTTAGGGTTTTATTTTTCTGTGGGCTTTCAAATTTTTAAGGGGGCTGCCAAAAGAAAGGAGGCAGGGAGGAAGCCGAAGCCCCAAGTGAACCACTTTTGCTGCAGAGGTCTGGAGCAGAGGGCCCCCCCCCAACTGAAAAGCTGCAGGGGAGGAAGGGAGGGAGCTGGGCTGGACAGATGGTCCCCCCCTCGCTTTCTGGGATTTCTCGACCGATCCAAAGCCCCCAGCCCTCCACACAGAGTCAGCTTACTTGTCAGTCTCGCAGGGCAGTGGCTGGGGAGGAGAAAAGAGCAGGCGGAGGCGCACAGTCGGCTTACTTGTCAGTCTCGCTCTCAAAGCTGACTCCCTTCCAGAGCAGGGCAGTGGCTGGGGAGGAGAAAAGAGCAGGCGGAGGCGGCGAGTTACCACTGGGCGTGTCAGCATGAAGGGCCGCCCTGACAGCAGCAGTGCGCTGAATGCGATGCGGCTGCCGCCGCCACTGCTCTTCTTGCTGCTGGCGGGCAAGTGTGGGGAGTGGCAGGTGGCCTGCGATGGCTCAGTGGGCATGAGAAGCAGGAGTGTGTGTGCCTTTAAAATGTTTTAAAAAGTTTTCAGGACAAATCCCTGTGGGGCTGTGCCTTTAAGAAATGGGGAAGAGCCCCAAATAGCCCCACCGTAGCTCCGGGCCTGTCGCCAAGTGTGTTTAGGAAGTGGGCAGGGCCAGTGAGGGCTTCTGCCCAGCCAGCAAGGCTTCTGATGGACCCCTGGAGATTTGGTTAGTTGTGCAGATTTTTTAAAATGTTGCTTTGGCAGCCATTTTTTTTATTTATTTTTTTGCTTTTTGCTGTGCCCACCATGCCATGTCAGCATTCTAAATGTGCCTGCGGGCTCAAAAAGGTTGAGGACCCCTCATGTAGTGCTCTCTAGAGTTCCATGCGGTTCACATACATTCTCAGCTATCCTTAAAAGAGCCCTGCAAGGTGGGTCAATATTATTGTTCTGTAGCTTTCTTTCCTTGCAGCTTGGCCAAGGCACAGGTGTAGGGAGGGCGGTGGGGGTGGTTTTATTGGGCCTTGTGCAGTTGCCTCCCCTCCATGGTCTGTCTCTGTTTCAGATTTAAGGACACTATTGTGAATGCCAAGTATGGCGGGCACACAGAGGCCGTGCGGCGGCTCCTGGGCCAGCTCCCCATCAGCGCTCAGTCCTACAGTGGCAGCCCTTACCTTGACCTCTCACTCTTCAGCTATGACGACAAGTGGGTTTCGGTCATGGAGCGCCCCAAGACTTGTGGCGACCATCCCATCAGGTATGCATCACGAGGGTGCATCTGCACATTTTGGTTAAATGAGGGGTACACTTCTGAAACAAGAACAATTTAATGCAATTAGGATCAGCCAGTAGAGCATTCTCCTCCGTCCGGCCCACTTCTCAACTGCTGTGGAAATCATGACAGCTGAATGGAACCTCTGTCTGTAGCTATTCATTTGTCTCCCTTCCTGTCTCCAAGGAGCTCAGCTTGGCGCTCTCCACTCTTCCCTTGTCTTCTTTGCAGTGGGTTAGGCTGAGAGGGAGAGCGACGGGTCCAGAGTCAACCAGTGAATTCCTTGGTGAGTGGGGTATGAATAGGGCTATCCCTAGATTTTAGTCCAGGACCATAACCACTGTACTGCCCTGGCTCTCAATACCTGAGGGTAGGAACAAAGGAAAGAGGAAAGCTGTCCCTGTAATACCCAGTCTGAGGGTTTCCCAGGGTTTTGGCTGCTGGAAACAGAATGCTGGCCAGAATAGCCAAGCTGCTTGTGTTTTAATGCAATTAAACCAACTCTTCCAAAAACAGATGCTGTTAATGTTCTCATAGGTGAGATACAAGTTGAAAGCCATTGACTTTTATTACCATCCAGGGAGTTTTTGGGGAAATGTCTTGAATTTGCCACTAAAGTCCACCCTCCTCATGATCTCCACAGACCCTGGGGAGCATTTGGACTGTGGTCGCTTAATGCCATTTCCCCAAGCACTTGATGCTTATGCATCATCCAGGCTCCCCTCCCCCCCCTTTTTTTCTCGCTTCTGTCCTTGAGGTTCTTGGAAGGCTCCAGCCGGCAGCTTTTGTCTGTAGGTGGCAGTGTTTCTTTCCAACAAAAGGCCACCAGCACAGCAGATGTTTTCAGTGGGCCTCTGGGAGAAAAGCCAAGCAAGGATCCCCCCCCCCCAGCTCAGCAGCTGGGGCTTCAGAAGGTGAGAGGGCCCAGAGTGTTTCAAAGCAGTTGGGTTCTCGTGTCTTTGGCACAGGTCGATCCTCTGCAGAACCCTTCAAGGGGAGGCAGAGACCCTTCAGCCTTCTGAGAGTCCTGCTTAAGCAAAGTGGTTCAGTGCCTGGTGATAAAAATATCACGTACCTTGAGAAATGTACAGGTATCAATAACTCTGAATGGCATCCTTCAGTGGCAACTCCAGTCTTCCCCTCAGTTCTTTCTTTCTGTTCCCCACATGTCTGCCTGGTCAGAAGCTGCTGCCCAATCTCAGCTTTTACCATCGTGGCCTTCAGGCAGGGGAATGGTCTCCTCAAGGATGTTAGGTGGGCATCTGCCCTCATCACCTGGAAGTGGTTGAGCGACACTAAACCGCTGAGGAGTACAGCAAGTAGAGGCCGCTGTAGTCCCCTCATTCTGGAATTTCAGTTTTTATCGTGTGTGTGCATTTCCATTTTATGACTGTGTTTCATTTGTGAGCTGCTTTTGATCCCTTTGGGAGGAAAAACTCAGGTGTTTTTAAATAAATCAAAATATCCTGAAGACATGCTTCTCATCCTGGAGTGAAATACATAGGTGTTACCTATGTCACATACATGCCACCTTTCCACCATATTTATTTAAAATAAATAAATATGCTACCTTTCAACCCAGATAGGGTCCCCAAGTAGAGATGTAAAATTTCCAGAAATTTTGAAGCTCGGAAAAACCCCTGTTTTTTGTCTGTTTTTTCCCGGAAAAAAACGGAAATGTTCGGAAAAATTGAAAAAAATGCTACATTAGCATTTCTTTTGTCTTTTCTAGTTTGAAAGTCATTCTGTTACTTTAGGAACATAAAATATGACTATGGACATTTTTACTTGGCATGAAGTTATCACAACTAGCATATTAAAAATATAGAGTATCCAAACAATTATTACAAACAGAATACCCATCCACATGCAAAAACAAAACTGAAACTTTTTTATTTTCTTCTGACAAAATCGCACTTCCTAAAGGAAGAAATGCATCTTGTTCTTGCATTGGAGAGTTCATCATCTTTTCTTTTCTCAATTTTTCGGAAAAAAACCAAAAAGGCTTCAGGAAAAAAACTGGGGTTTTCCCGAATTTTTCCGGGTTTTTTCCGGTCCTTCACCTCTCTATCCCCAAGGCAGCAATTGATGGTAGCGGAAAATGCCTTCAAGTCACAGCCAACTTATGGTGACCCCTTGGTGGATTTTCATGGCAAGAGACCATTGCCTGTCTCTGTGTAGCTACCCTGGACTTCCTTGATGGTTTCCCATCCAATTACTAACCAGGGTAGACTTTGCTTAGCTTCTGAGATCTGAAACGATCAGGCTAGCCTGGGCTGTCCAGGACAAGGCAAGAGAGGTTTGGAGGTGGTTTGCCATTGCCTCCCACTGCATAACAACCCTAGACTTCCTTGGTGGTCTCTCATCCGAGTAGTAACCAGGGCCAACCCTGCTTAGCTTCTGAGTTCTGACAAGATCGGGCTAGGTTGGGCCGATCCAGGTCAAGGGCATCAAAACATTAAAAATATCTATCAAAACATTAAAGCAGCATTTAAAATACATGTGTAAAATATTTAACAATGCAGTAAAAATGTATTCTTCCTATGAACTGTATAAAGCTGCTTTGTATTGAGTCAGACCACTAGTCCAGCTGGCCTAGTTCTCTTGTGATCAGAAATGCTGTGAATTTGTCCTGGGATTTTTTGCATGGAAAATATGATCCCCCACTACTGATCTATGAACTGCAAGATTTATACTTACTTTTGTCATTTGGTTTTGGGGGTTTCCCCAAGTGATTGCATATTGTGCATTCAGTTATTCAAAATGTTTTATGCTTATTAGCAATGTAGTACCTTAGTCTTGTAAGGGAGGCCAGTCTTACTTGTTCCTGTATTGCTGAATCTTTGGAGTTAGTCCAGGGCCTGAGGGAGAAAGTCCACAAGTGAATTTGTGGCAGAAGCTTCATAGAATCATAGAATGTTGGAAGGGACCTTACAGGTCATCTAGTCCAACCCCTTGCACTCTGCAGGAGCATAGCTGAAAGATAACCCTACATACCTACAACATACCCAAAAGATGGTCGTCCAGCCTCCGCTTGAAAACATCCAGTGAAGGAGCATCCACCCCCTCCCGAGGCAGACTGTTCCACTGCTCAACCACTCTTACAGTTAGGAAGTTTCTCCTGATATTTAGCCGGTAACGACTCCCTTGTAATTTCCACCCATTAGATCTAGTCTTGCAATCCAGAGCAAGAGAGAATAGATCTGCTCCATCTTCTACATGACAGCCCTTCAAATACTTGAAGACTGCAATCATGTTCCCTCTAAGCCTTCTCTTTCCCAGGCTAAACAGACCCAACTCTTTCAGCCTTTCCTCATAAAACTTGGTTTCCAACCCTCTCACCATCCTGGTTGTCCTCTTCTGGACACGCTCGAGCTTGTCAACATCCTTCCTAAAATGTGGTGCCCAAAACTGGACACTGGACTCCAGGTGAGGCCTGGCCATACCAGAATAAAGCGGAACGACCACCTCCCGTGATCTGGACACAATGCTTCTGTTAATGCATCCTAAGATTGCATTAGCTTTCTTCACAGCCACATCACACTGCAGGCTCATGTTTAGCTTGTGATCAACCAGAACATCTGGTTAATTAAGGACTGATTCCTAGTTCAGTCTCTTGCAGTACCATCCTAAACAGAGTTAGTCTTCTAAGTCCATAGAAGTCAAAGGGCTGAAGTGGATACAGCTGTTAGGATTGCACTGTTAGCCACCATGCTGCACCATCCTAGACATTCTTGCCTGGAAATTACACAGTAGGACTTAAGTGTCCTTCCAAAAAGGGAAAACCATGAAATGTGTTGACCATTCGGAACACTGATTTGTGAGCCGTTTGCCAGCTTCTGCCATCGTGGAATTGTTCCTTTGCACCTTAGCTTCTGGATCACCTGGTGGCTTATAATTTTGAGCTATGGTGCAAATCTGAACTTGTGAGCAGTGGGATGGAACTGGACTGAGAGGGCCACTGGTGTCTTTCTGGTAGTTCTGGGCCATCTGTACAGAAGCCGTGTCTATGTTAGAGGCCAGAACGGACATGGACCGTGCACCTGAACGGTCCCGCCGGGGGAAAAAAAAGGAAGCCACCCTGAACGCCAGGACGAATGTCCTGAACGAAGACCGCCAGGGAAAAACAGAGCCGAGCTGGAGAACAAACAACAGGCCTACCACCAGTGTTCCCCCTAAGCTGAGTTAGTGTGAGCTAGCTCACAGTTTTTTAGCCTCCGGCTCACACATTTTTGTCCTAGCTCAGGAAGGATGGCTCCAGAGCAAACTAATTGATGCAGTAGCTAAATTGCTTGCTCACAACTTTAATGCCAGGAGCTCACAAAGTAGAATTTTTGCTCACAAGACTCCACAGCTTAGAGGGAACATTGCCTACCACCTGGGTGCCGGTAGGCAGCCCCGTCCCTACTCCATGTGGCCCTGGTTAGAGAAGCAAGTGTTCTTAGAACCCCCTATGTAAACCGCCCAGAGACCCCTTGGGGTCAGGGCTGTATAATAAGTCGAATGAAATAAATAATTAATAAATATTATTTTGGCCTTCCTGGAAGGGGTTCGAGATAGTGACCACAGTTCTCCCTTCCACCATTTTATCTTGCCAGCGACCCTGTAAGATCAGGGCAAGGTGCAATGGCTAGCACATCAGGCCAGCATCTGGGAGACCTGAGTTCAAATGCCTGCTCTGCTATGGAATCTTGCTGGGTGATCTTGGGCCACTCAGACCCCAGCCTACCTCACAAGGCTGTTATGAGGGAAAAGTGGAGGAGAAGAGAACAATACAAGCTGCCTTGGGGTCCCCGTTGTGAAGGGAGGCGGAATACAAAATGAAGTCAAGGAACTGAAAAAGAGAGAATGAGTGGGCCAGGGTCGGCCAGTGAGCGTCATGACTCAGAATGAGAGTGGAGTCTTCCCAGCCTCGGTCCTGGTCTCTGCCCTGGCTTTCTCTCCCGAGGTTCCTGTCGTGTTGACTGGATCAGGAATGGCCCGACCCGGCGGCCCCCCCCCCCCCCCTTTTCGGGCCCGACTGGGGCTGTGATGCCCTCCTCTGAGCCATGCCATCGTCAGCCTTGCCTTCCGATGGGCTGTCACCCCCGCCTCTGCAATCCTGGTCACCAGCTGCTCACAGAGGAGCATTGGGTCCTCCTGTCCCTGCTCCCGAGGAGTGCTGCTGCTGTCAGCTCCCACCCAAGGGATGTTCAGCATTGCCTTAGCATAGAGGACGACAATGATGATGATTGCTGTTCCTCTAATGTGCCTGCGCTGTCCTCCGATGTCACGCTCCTGCTGCCTTGGGTGTCCGTCCCCTCCCCCCCCCCGCCACCGCCACGCAGTTTTTCTCCTCCTACGCCAGCCTGCAGCTGCTGGAATGGCCACCCCCTTCTTTCTCGAGCTTCTGGGCAGAGCAGAATGTCTCCTGGGGATTCAGAGGCTCCCAAGCCCCTCCCTTGCAGTGGCTTTGGCAGCTGCCCCGCCATAGCCAGGCCTGGCACTTGGGGACAAGGGAGGACGAGAGCAGCACAGTTCTCTGTATGCAGCCCCCCTCCCCCTTGTTAGGAGCCTAAAGCTCAAGCAGGGTGGGGGGTGGGGTGGGCCTGGGAAGTCTAAATGCGAAGGCTATTTGGAAGCCTTTTAGAAACAGAAACAATTTGCAGGCAAACTTTCCATTTTCATAACAACTGGCGCAGGGCGAGAAAGCAAAATCTCCCTATTGCTGTTCTTACTGACACGCATCTTGCATTTCAGTGTCTAATTTATCCAGTGCGTGTGAGCCCATGGAAATGGCTTCTGATTGCAGAGCACTCTTCAAATAGATTTAAAAATACCAAACGGCGCCCATCTTGGAGATTACAGGGCGCTCGTCTTGAGCACAGCAAATTGCCCTGAATTGGAGTAAGAGGAGCAGACCACAGACCATGTTTTATTTCAACACACACACACACAACCTTCCCTCCTCTTTTCTTCCTCTCCCCCCACCCAGATGCTTCCTCCTGTGAAGGAGGGGGAGCCATTTGGAAAACCAACTATCAAGATTGTTGCTCTCCACCCAGCCCTTGTCCTTTCATTGTCAGGCTGGCTAGGGGGGGATTCAGGAGTGGGGGGCAAGAGAGAATAATGGTCATCCCACAAGAATGCAAGGAATTCAAGCAGGCTGCATTGTCAAGAGCCCAGAGGGTGTCTGCTTGTTTGAAAGCGCATTTTCCTCCCTGTTCCTCCTGCTGCTGGGAGAAGCTAGGCTAGCAGCTGGAGGGTAGCCCCTGCTGGGAATTGGCTTGTGTCGGACATTTTGAGTGGAGATCAGGAAGTTATGCAAGCATAACCCTCAAAGGAGGGAATGTAGAAGGGGGTATGTTTATTTCCAATTGCATTTATTTATTTGAAACATTTCCATCCTGCCTTTCTAATCCTGAAATCTTCCAAGCGATACCCACAGAAGCTTGAAAAGAAGAATAGCATGCCATCGAGTCACAACTGACTTATGGTGACCTCATCCACAGGGCATTCCGGGCAAGAGGCAAACAGAGATGGTTTGCCATTGCCTTCCTCCACATAGCAACCTTAGCCTTCTTTGATGGCTTCCCATCCAAGCACTAATTGTGGCCGACCCTGCTTAGCAACCAAGTTCTGATGAGCTCGAGCTAAGCTGGGCTATTCAGGCTGCTTAAACCATCAGTAAAAGCAATTGCTTAAAAAACGGGGGGGGGAGTCATTCTGCCCAGCCAAATTCAGTGACCTACCACTATATTTGCAGCAGGAGAAAAACAATTCACCCTAAACCCAGTTACACCAAAGCATCATCAGACTGGAGCTCAGCAAGCCTCTGTGGGGGGGATGGATTCCACAAGTGGAGTGCTCCCCCACCGGAAGGCCTTTGCTCACCTCTGAAGGAGAACATCCAAAGCAGGACCCCTGTCAGACTTGGGGCAGGTTGTTTGCGGAGCCAGCGGGAGGTCCAGGTCCCAAGCCTGGTCAGGATTCCAAAGGTCATTCTAGCTAGCCTTTTGAATTGCATTTGGCAGCAAATCCATAACCAGCCAAGTTCTTTTAATTCTGGTCAGATACCATCATGGTGATTGGCACCTGTCAGCAGGCGTGTTGCTGCTCTTTTTTTGCATGGGTGGAAGCTTTTAAGCTGTTCTCAAAGGTGAGCACCGTGTGAAGTGCCTTGCAGTAGCTTAATCCTGCTGGCTACCCATAGCCAGGCAATAACATGGTAAATCACAAGCTCCTGATCCCTCGTGGCTTAAGCATTGTCACCTGCCTCTCTCTGTCCTTTGCAGGTTCTACGCCCGAGATTCTGGCCTTCTGAAGTTTGAAATCCAAGCGGGACTCCTGGGCCGGCCTATCAATCACACTGTCCGGCGCCTGGTTGCATTCACCTTCCACCCGTTCGAGCCCTTTGCGATCTCTGTGCAGCGGACTAATGCTGAATATGTCGTGAACTTCCATATGAGGCACAGCTGCACATAATGCAGCTTCCATCAGTGGCAGCCGTGCCTATCGGCTAGATGCGTTTTGTCACAGACACACCAAAGCAGGAAACCCAAACACACCCACACCCCGCCTTTGAGGCGCTGCAAGCACCACCGGTCTTTCCTCGGCTGCTGTGGCCATTGGTGGAATACTCCTGCCCTCGGGGGAAGGCTGCCGGGGTGCTTTTGATGGATCAGCTGAGTGCTGATGAGCTGAGAGTCACTGTGCTTTCTCACTGCCTGACTCTCATCTGTCTGGCCTGGGGCCTGCTCTTATGCTCAGTGGACCAGTCCAGCTCCATTACATTCTTTTGTGGGGAGGGAGGTGTGACCTGTTGAGCAGAATGCCATGGAGAAACAGTTTTCCTTTGACCAAGGATTCAGTCTTTAAAGAGCTGTCCCAAGTCCTGTCAGGGACTATTCACCAAGCTAAGGCAAATTACCTCTCAAAACCATAGTGCTGCGAGAATCCATCCCACCTGTTTGAGGTGGACGGCTGTGAACTATGCACAAGTCAGAGGGCTATGAATGTCTTTTGCCAGTCACTGAAGACTCTAGAGTCTTGCCATGCTGACTGGCACAGTTGGGAATGGATGGTCTTGCGGACCTTTACTGGTAGCCACTGTGTGGGCATGGTCCAGCCTTCCTTGTTCTGTCCTTATTCATTGGCAAAGAGCAAAATTCAGGTTCCCTTCTTTGGCAGCCTCATCCTGATTGGAGGGCTGGCGGAGGCTGGATGCTAAAGTCTGTTCCAAATTCACAGCTAGGGCTGGGGGAGGGGACCGTTACTGTTCCACTGTGGTTTTGCAGTTGCGTAAAGGGATGAGTGATGTGTGCATGGATCCCATTCTCCCCTTCCTTGCTGCTGCCACAAAGGGGGCAGATTTCCCCACCCCTGTGCCCTTGCAACCCAAGTTAAGCACCAGCCCTTTGTGTTCATGGTGGATCATGTTACTGTATGTCATGTGAGTCCATCCCTCTGTCTTACGCAATTTTGCCTCAGGCTGCAGGCCGTGTGCCACTGAAGCTGGTCTCTTTGCTTTTGGAACAAGCCAGCATGTGAGCTGCAGACTAGGCCTCTGTGCCTTAGTTTTCAATGGGGAAGAGAGGTGAGACCCCTGAGGACTGAAAGGAGGCCTGTAAATAAAACATTTAAAAAATCGGGGAGAGGTTCCCCTTGGAGACGAGTTGAATGGCAAGGCGCTGACAGCTGGGTGCAGTGAGCAGTATGAAGAGCAGGGACAGTTCTCTGAGAGGCAGCTCCTTCATGGTCATGGGGGGGTGGGGGTGGAAAGGAGAACAGCTTCACTTTCCCCCCTTCTGCAGCCTGAGATATTACAAAGACCGCGCAGGCTGTATTCAAGTGAAGTCCATCATGTGACGGAGAAAGGCAAAATTAACGCTTAGGAGCATGAGATTTTTGAGGACACCTGCCTTGGTTGTGCATCTACACAAAGCCTCCCCTCCAGTCAGATGCCCTCTGCCTTCTGTAGATCCAGTTCATCATATGGAGTCCAAACTCATCGCCTGTGTACTATAAAGGTGTGCCAGAAACGGATTAATGGGACTGGCCTGCAGGTTGGGCTTTGGAATTATGTGAATCTGGAACATGCCAAACTGTTGGGTTTTTTTTTTAAATGCCCATCCGTTTTACAGATCTTCACTGTTGCCTTTGTGAGTTTAAAACCCTTTTTGGATATTCCAAACATGGTGGAGTGAGCTTTGGCTTCACCTATGGTTTTAGACTATTGCTGACGATGTAGAAATCACGCAAATGTGCAGCCCATCTGTAGATGCACTTAAAAAGCACAGTAAACAGGACAGATATTTCAACAATCCCCACCCCACCATCTGCATGTTTAGGATATCTCGAATCACACTGTCTTCTGGCCCATTTCTATAAATCAGGGACTTTTCAGAGCTCAGCCACATGATTTCATAGCTGAAGGCTACTTGAATAGGTGGGCGGCAGGCGAGCAGACCTACTGTGGAAATTACCTCAGAATGTTGTGTTTTGTTGCTGAGTCTTGCCCTCCTCTCCCCCCAAACCTCTTTGTGTGTACGTGTGTGCTCAGAGCTCAAAGCCAAGTCAACACTTAATTTTCCTGCTCAGCACTCAACAGGAGTGACTCAATTTACAAGTTAACATGCACTTTTAATGGCTGCCTAAGAGAATGTTTGCAAATTGGGGATTGCTGTGAAACATGTGCAAAGTGGTTTGCTGGCAGACGAGCGTGAGCATGATTGTGCGTCCTTTGTGGGACAGTGTTGAAGGTGGGGGTGGGGATGCACCTCCATGGCATGCAGGCACACAGACCTTGAGGGGCTGGTAGTCACAGCAGTGGAAACTGATGCAGGCTGGCGAGGCCATTGCCTGTCTCCCTCCCCCACCATTGGGTGCAGCTGCCTCCACCTCTACTTCCGGATGCCCTCCAGTAAGGGTGCCGGGTCTCACTCCCCCGCTGGCAGTGCTCGGCTTTAGGATATGGGCAGTTTGCCAGCAAACGGCTGTTGGGGACTGTTTCCAGTACTGGAAAAGTTCAGTCTTCACCCAAAAGGAACCAGCCTCTGGATGAACAGAACTTAGGATGCCCTGGCTGCACATGTTACCTGTCAGAGCGACCTTTGGCATCAGTAGTGAGAGTAGGGTGGATCCAGCCATCTTCCAAGGTGGTTTCTTGCAGCCTGAGGAGCTTTCCTCTGACGCCAGGGGCTCTTCCACGAACGGAGGAGCCACTTAAGTTGGAGGAAGGCTTCAAACTTGAGCCAAAAGGAAAGGCGAGGTATAAATATTTAAATAACAAAATGGACGCTCAGTGGAGTGGTAGGATAGGGGTGTGATCCACCCTGATGGCTTTAGATGGCTTTTTAAAAAAGGAATGTCTTGTGAAAACCCAAGCAAATTTGGAATCAGAAGTTTGTATAGCAGCTCATGGGGTACATAACCCAAACTTTCCAGCCATGCTACTGCTCTGTACTCTATTTCTTCAGGGTGGGAAGGAGAAGAGACTTCGGGATCCAAGGATTTGCGCAAAAAAAAAAAGATGGTTAGATGCAAAAAATGGGGGTGGCTACCAGTGCTCCCTCTACGCTGTGAAGTCTTGTGAGCAAAAATTCTATTTTGTGAGCTACTGGCATTAAAGTTGTGAGTGAGCAATTTCGCTACTGCATACATTAGTTTGCTCTGGAGCCATCCTTCCTGAGCTAAGACAAAAATGTGTGAACCAGAGGCTTAAAAACTGTGAGCTAGCTCTCACTAACTCAGCTTAGAGGGAACACTGGTGGCTACATGGGTGAGCTCCCAACTTCAAGTGCTAAAGAGCCAGCAGTTGTGTTATCTGCATTTGTGTATTCCCCAACCTCCAACCTTTTGACTTTTTAGGAACCATGAATGT